ATAAAATCTAAAGAGGCTGTCCAATTCCTTTTGTAGTTTAGTAGCCAGTGTAAAGACATTATTCACAGGCTGGAGATGTGGCTCAGTGGCACAAGTACTTGGCTGGCAGACACAATGTCGTGAATTTGATCCCTGACACCAAGACAAGATAGGGGCTGGAGCAGGTAGTCGTGAGTTCAATCCCTGGTACCGATAAAAAGGAAAAAGACCAAAAAAAAACCAAAAAACAAAAAATTATTCACTAGTGTCAGTCCCTCCTTTTTGTTAGGTATCTTCTCCATTTTCAAGTAGAGGTTTATTTGTTCAGAAGTAATATTGAGGTACTGCTTTTTAAAAAATCTTGTTTCTGGGGGCTGGAGGTTTAGCTCAGCGGCATAAGCGCCTGCCTTGGAAGCAGGCAGTCGGGAGTTCGATCCCTGGTACCAATAAAAAGGAAGAAGACAAAAAAAAAAAAAAAATCTTGTTTCTGACCGCAGGGTAACAAATCATAAGAGAAAAAGTATTAAGGAGATACACCAGATTACCAATCCCCAATCATAGTGACAATCAAGGAAGAGCTCATGGATGTGAAGCAGCTGAGGAAGACAGACAAATAGGGCTGGAGATTTAGCTCAGTGGTGTGAGTGCCTCCCTGGCAAGAACAAGGTCGAGAGTTCAACCCCCAGTACCACAAAAAAAAAAAAAAAAAAAACCCAGGCGAATAGAACTGAGATATGAAATAAAAAAAGCAGGTAAGATTATTATGTCAACTGGCCTCTGAGGACCTCAACAGTTAAATAGGAACAGAAAGCTAGCCATATTGTTATACTTTGTACTTTCTTCAACCAGAAATGAGGACCACCATATTTTCAAGTCCTCCCTGAAATTAATGTCCAATGAGTTTTTCCAAAAGAAATTGCTGTTTATAAGTTATTTCTGCTATGCAGAGCAAAAGAAAAAGAAAAGAAAATCCTTACTAGAGACACATAAACTATAAAACTTTCTATAACCTTAGAGAACCATAATGTCTTCACTAGAACCAAATCCAATCACATAAATTTCTGAAGCAGAATGTGCTGTGAGTTGTTACAAGTCTGTAGCTTGAGAGAGCCAAAAAACAACATTAAATACAAGTTTAAAGAGATTGTGCTTCCAAAATCTGGTATCCTAGTCTTGGTGTAGAGCTGTTTACTCATTTACTGTGTTCATTATCATTCCACTGACTTCAAATAGAGACATGTCTGCTTTTTTATAGTCATTGCTTTCCCACACAATAGTAATTAGTTTTCTAATCCCAGGTGAGAGCTATGGAGCTAGGGTAAATGACTCTGATAAAAAGGGTCATCTCTTTATTCCTTTTTCACACATAGGTCAATTCCAAGGATTTTCCACATCTGTCTCACTGCTACCAGATGAACAGCATTCTTCTTCTTCTTCTTCTTCTTCTTCTTCTTCTTTTTTTTTAATCGGTACCAGGGATCAAACTCACGACCTCTGCTTGCAAGGTAGGTGCTTATGCTGCTGAGCTAAATCCCCAGCCCCATGAACAGCATTCTGAAAAATGCTATGTCTTCCCACAATACATCTTTTGGACTTGTGCTCTCCGAATCCTATCTGGAACTTCAACAGCAAAAGCTTTAAACAGTACCCAATTTAGGCGCATCTTCATTAGGATAAAATACTATCTTTTGTTTTTGTTTTGTTTTGAGTCAGGGTCTCTCTATGCAGCTGAGGCTGACTTTGAACTCACTAGGTAGCACAGGCTGTCCTTAAACTTGTAGCGATCCTCATTCCTCAGCCTCCCAAATTCTGGGATTATAGGAGTGTGCCAACATACCAGGATAAAATGTTTTTAAGCACTGAAAAACATGAGGCAGAAGTGGTAGGGGTTGGGGTTCAGCTCAGCGGCATAAGCTTGCAAGCAGGCAGTCGTGAGTTCGATCCCCGGTACCAATTAAAAAAAAAAAAAGAAAGAAAGAAAAAGAAAAAGACAAAAAAAAGAAGTGGTGGCACACACTTGTAATCCTAGCACTCAGGAAGTTGAGGCAAAAGGACTGCTGTAAATTTGAGGACAGCCTGGGCTACATAGTGAGTTCAAGACCAGCCTGGACTACATAGTAAGACTCTGTCTCAAAACAACAAAAAATTAAAAATTAAAATAGAGCGAGGCATGGTGGCACACACGGTAATCCCTGTACTTGGGGGGCTGAGGCAAGAAGGTCACAGAGTGCAAGGTCAGCCTGGGCTACTTAGTGAGTTCAAGGCTAGCCTGCTTTGCATAGCAAGACCCTGTCTCAAAAGACAAAAACAAACAAATTAATGAGAGTAAAAACATGTAAAAGATTAACTAGCCAATTTCATCATTTAATTTTTTGTTTTGTTTTTTGAGCCAGAGATTCACTACAGAGTTCATTGCAGACTGGCCTTGACTTCACTATGTAGTTCAAACTGGCCTCAAATTCATGGTGATCCTCCTGCATTAGCCTCATGAGACACTTAAAATTGTAAGCTAATAGAATTTCAAAATCTAAGGTAAAGTTCCCTGAGAGCGAAGCTCAGCTCAACTCAGCTCAACTCCACACTCCATTGTCCAGAGCCCAGGCCACACAGACAGCACACTGTCAACCTGGGGGAAAGGAGGCAGCCCAGTTATGAAGCAAGTGTTCATTAAAGGGGAGCTCTCTTCTCCTGGTTTTTGGTTCTCAAAGCCCCTGTGAGGCAGTCTGATTTCTCAGCAGTGGTAGGTAGGCAAATGAGGGAAGACGTGGCAGGCTCAGAGGTCCTGATGACTTCTGGCTTGAGCGCCACCTATGAGGCTGTGAAACTCTGTTAAGATCCAAGTTCAGCTCTGGCTTTGACTCTATTAGGACCCACTGTCCCTGGGCACACGCCTACCCTGAAGCCTTAACCCACCTCAGCTCTGATTCTTCAGAAATGAGAAAGGAGCAACTCAGCTCTCTGTGGGAAGATGTTTGCCTCTGTTGTTTCCAGCCAGCACTAATGTCCTGAAATAGAATAGGGGAGATCATGATAGGTAGAAAGGACACAAGGAAATTGTGATTTTAAAATTTACTTTCAAGAAAATTGCTGCATCAAGATATAAAGTTATCCAAGATTATAGTGTCTTTTTCAGCCCTTGGCCTGTTTTCTTTCTAGGCTCACTCCTAAATTCCTCAGTCGTGTGTCCCCGTGTCCCCCCCCCCCCCCCGTGTTTTGAGACAGAGTCATTATATTGTTTAGTCTAGGCTGGCCTCAAACTCATGGCGATCCTCCTGCCTCAGCCTTCCAAGTGTTGGGATCACAGGCTTGCACCACCGTGCTCAGCTGAATTCCTGATCTTTATTTTTTTAAATAGCCCTCTTCTTTTATTTCCCAGAAAAATGTCATTCAACAGAAGCATGCAGGCAAGCCAGCTTCTTACCTGAAACTGAATTTTTCCCTCCTTTTTTTGGCCTCCCTGAGGACACACAAAGCCTTGGCCCAGAGAACAGTGGCAGATGCTAGATAAATGTCAATAACTAAAATAGACATCCCAGATCACCCATCTTGACAACACCCAAGACCACATAAATTATCTCCAACCCCAGACATCTTCCCTCATCTCTACTGGGAATTGGGTTATATCTGGAGTGAGGGTAGATTTTATCTACCTAGGGTTCATAAACTTTATACCAATAAAGAACTAGGGTTATGGGCCGGGGATTTAGCTCAGTGGCATAAGTGCCTGCCCGGCAGGCACAAGGTCCTGAGTTTGATTCTCAGTACAAAAAAAAAAAAAAAAAACAAACAAAAAAGAACTAGGGTTATAAGTTTAGAAGGAGAGACAAAATTACTTTATCAAAAAGAGGAAAGAAATGATGAAATAGACAGCTACCTTGTTGGAGTAATATAAGGAGCCTAGAGCCAGTGCTCGAGGGTCTTTGTTCTTATATGGTAAGAAAGGGACGCTATCCCTTAAGAGTTGTTATAACTTGATTGGCTCTGAGACCACTGATTTGGCCATTAACCCTCTACATTGTCTATATGCAAATCCTTAAATAAGCTTCTTTTTACCTTCTTTGTTTTATCAAGGTGATATCTGTGGAAATTTATAGCAAAGCCTTACAGTTAAGGCCAAGTTATCAATTAATGAAGGGATACATGTACATTTTAGTGTATTAACAGGGTGAGAAATAATAATACATATATATGTGTTTATAGATAGTTGTGTGAGTGTATATTTTATACACTAAATGAGAGGGAGCCTTTTGTGCCTAGAGTTGTGGTAAGCAGTGGGCAAGAAGCACACAGCGACCTGAGGTGAGAGGAGGAAGCTGAAACACAGACGCAGGTGAGACACAGCTGTTGTACCCCCAAAACAAGGCCCCAAGATGTTATTCAAGAAGAAGACATCTTATTTTAAAAAGAAAAAGAGCACTTTTATTTAAGTTGACACCAGCGACGCAGTACAGATGGAGTTTACAAACCTGTGCAAGTGGGTTAGAATTTTGACAGATTTTTATAGCGATTAAACCACAAAGTAAGGAGTGATATGAAGTGAGCAAGAATGCGGAAGGCCTCTGTTCCCTTCGCTTGGGTCAGAGGCCTCTCTCAGTTAGTGATTACCTCTTTCTTTCCTTAATTTACTGCCCTTGGTCTGCTAATTCCAGGAACATTTGTCTCTCATAAAGGGAACAAAGGTTGACACAGCAAACAGGTTACTAGGGTGAAGATGCATACAGAACAGTATGATGACCTGTCAGTTAATCTATAACTGTGTGGTTGGTGCTCCAGTCAATCTTTTTAACTTTGTATTTTAGGGGAGATTTTTTGTTTTGTTTTGTTTTTGTACTCACGACCTTGAGCTTGCCAGGCAGGCATTTAAGCCACTGAGCTAAATCCCGAGCCCCTGCATTTTAGTTTTTTAGCATTTTAGTACAACAACAGCTCTCCCCAAAAATTCTGCTTCTCTCAGTGATCACTCCCAATGCAGTGGTCTGATGAATGGAGTCTCCCACCTCCTCCTAGGCAACAAGCCCCAATTCTTTTTTTTTTTTTTTTGGTCTTTTTCTGCAACAACAGGCACAGAAGCCTCTCCAGGGTATCATCTTGTGTTTGGGGGGAACTCATCACACTCCATCCAGTGGCATCCAGTGGTTCAAAAATATAGTCTGTAAAGCTGGACATGGTAGTACACACCTGTAATTCCAGCATTTGAGAAGCTGAGGCAGAAGAATCACTGTGAGATCAAAGCCAGCCTGGGCAACACAGAGAGATCCTGTCTCAAAAACACCAAACCAAACAATATATATGAAGAGGGAGAGTATCTGTGGAAAGAACTCTGATTTGCATCCCCCCATAGGTCACCACCGTGGTTAGTTGCTTCCACAATTTAAAATTGTCTGTACTTGGCAATGATCTTTTTTTTTTTTTTTTTTTTTTTTTTTTGGTACCATGGATTGAATTTAGGACCTTGGGCTTGCCAAGTAAGGGATTACACTACTGAAAGGATTTTGGCCCAATTGGGACACTGTAAAACCTTGGAGGCGAAACCAAGGGGCTCTATCTTCCCCGCCCTTAGGAATTTACCTGTGGCACATTTCCCAATGGGCTACCTGTACATCACTAACGCCCCTCAGGCACCACCCCAAACCTAAGCTACATGTATGCCCCCACACCATGTGTCTGGCGGAGAGAATGCCAGCCCCTGGAGACCCTGGAGGGTTAGGTGGTCTCTCCCTGCATTCTTAAAATAAAGGTCACTTATATTTCATACTTCTTATCTTTTCAGCCACGCCAAAATTCTATCAACTACTGAGCTAAATCCCTGGTCCCACAATTTATGCCTCTTCAAATAAAAATAAAACTGCTGCCAGGCATGGTGGCACATGCCTGTAATCTCATTGCTTAGGAGGCTGAGGCAGGAGAATTGCCATGAATTCAATTCCAGCATGGGCTATACAAGCAAATTCAGAGCCAGCCTGCACTATATAGCGAGACCCCGTCAAAAAAAAAAAAAAAAAGCTGCTGACTTTCTTCTGTAGGCCAAAAATGTAGCCTATTACATCCATAGAAAGCCAAAGTGCCCTGGCCAGAGGGCAACCCCTAGGTCAGAGGCAAGCATATTTATGAAGTCACTCTGCCCCTACCACAAGCACCAGCACATTCATTCAGCACAGTGTTGCTGATAGATCCTGTGAACTTCTGTCTCTGTCCTGGAGGGGAAATGGTTTCTGTGGGTTTTGTTTGCATCCTCCTACTTTAAGGGCAGTTGGCCATCCTTGTGCCTGAAGGCTCATTTTAATTTCCCTTCCTGTGAAGCACCTTAGTTCAGGCTTCTCTATGAGTTTCTTGTTGCTGGACCAAATGGAGTGGCTTAGAACAGCACAAACCTGTTATCTTACAGCTCCAGAGGTCAAAAGTCAACATAAGTTTCTCTGGGCTGGGCCAGCAGGCAGTACCGCTTCCTGGAGGCTCCCCTGAGAGTCCATTTCTTTCCAGCTTCAGAAGCTGCCAACCCCACTAGCTCCAGGCTCCTTTCATCTGCCACCCTCCCCAGCAGAATGAACACAGCTATTCTCATTGCTGAAACCTTATTTAGAGAAGCAGAGCTCCCCTGGGATCCAGTTTTCCAGGACTCTTAGACATTATAAAATGTTTGTCTAAATAAAGTGCACAATCACTTTCTCCTAACAAAGCCATTCCAGCCCACCCAAGTATCCCTGCCAAATACAGCTCTTGCATAACAGGGTTTGTCTCAACCTCCATTCCCAGCTGGGGGCCCAGGCTTGGAGGAAGAGTGCTGGGGAGTCAGAAGGGCCCAGCCAAATGACAGTCTTCTGAGTGCTTCCATGGGTACCCTGGACTCCTACCAGCCCAGCAGTGAAGAGTGTGGTGACCTATCTGTGGGAGGCAGGTCTCAGAGTCCTTGAGTTACTGCCCTGAGGCCACCAGCTGATCACTACAGGATGGGAGGTGGCTGGGAGCTTGTTCTCCCCAACCCATCTGAATCTACTGTTCACTGCTTGCATCTGTCCAGGCTCTGAGGCCATATGGCTCCTACCTCAGTGGTATCTTTGTGAGAATTAGATAATGATGACCCTTCTTGGCTATCCCACTGACCAAGGTAAGGACCAGGCCCTTCAGGGTATAGTCTGGACATGGCCTCTGTTGACCCAAGCCAGGTGCCCTCAGTGGCCAGGCATTCTAGCTGTCTCCCTTCCTTCCCTGCAGAGTTTGTGATGTCACCTAGCTGCAGGCCAGGCCAGGAATGAGAAGGCTGTGGTGTCTCCTAGGGTCTCCAGGTTTCTGTATAGTGTAGCCTGGCTTGCACTATCAGGGCTGTTACTGGGGTTGGTGCTGCTTGGGTCACCTTCACAGGAGTGTCACCAAGAAGCTGTCCTGACATGGCCCCTTACTTGGTCAAAGAAAGATGGTTTGTGACTCCTGTGACTGCTGGGGCTCGCACACTGTTTCCTCCTATTGGTCTGGCCCAAGCAAAGGCTCCTAAAACCTCTGGCAGGAATGGGGTGGGGGGAAGAATCCCTGAGGTTTCCCTTTTCTTCTCCCTTTGGCCTAAAAGGGACAGTTGGGGCTGGGGATTTAGCTCAGCGGCATAAGTGCCTGCCTTGCTAGCATGCAGTTGTGAGTTCGATCCCTGGTACCAGTAAAAAAAAAAAAAAAAAAAAAAAAGGACAGTTGTCCCTGAAGGTCTCCTATAGGGTCTGTCTCCATGATGTGCCTTGGCCACTACCCTTCAAAGTCCACATCCTCCAAGAATCTCCCAGGTCTGCTGGCTCCTGGCTCTGACCTCACAGAGGTGGACTTTCTCGCAATAGGGCAGCTCCAGTGAGTATCATGTCAGATCAGTGCCACGACAATCTCAAGGGTCTCTTAAACCCACTCTGAGGTTAGTAGTGTTATGGGCTTACTGTATCCCACTGCTTGCCTCCTCTGCTAGCACTGCCTTTGCATGCTGGGCCTTCACCTCCATCCCTTATCAGCCTGAACAGCATCCTTCCTAAGCCCTTAGTAAACTTAGAACCAAGAAGTAGTCAAAGAAGTAGCTTTCATTTCTGATCAAATGAAAAATAAAATAAAGTAGATGAACCAAGTTCAGAACTGGCTTACGTCATGTGCCTTCTGAAAAACCACTGTTATTCTAACATGGTAATATCTGAAAAGAAAAGACAAGTAGGCGTGGAAGAAGCAGCCACCCAGATTCTATTTCCTGGTCCTGGCCACCAGTCAGAGTATTGTGCTGTGATTGGGCAGAATTGCCTCCTTGCCCAAGTGAGTGTGAGGACACAGGCCCAGAGGAGCCAGGAGGGAGAACCAGCCCCCAGGTAAGGGCTCATTATTGGGAGGGGACATGGAGTTAGTCTGGGGAACAAATGGGTCTTTGGAAAGGGAGGTTGAGGCTGGGGAGGGAGGGCAGACAGCAGGTTGAAGGCTGGAGCTTCGCCTTCCTCCATACCCACTCAAGGAGCCCCAGCCCCTTAGGCTTTTCCCTGGCAGCTCTCAGGCCCCCTGGGTACCTTAGGGCTCCACAGAGGAGTGAGGTAGGAGCTAGGAGCCAGGCAGCAGAGGAAACCAACTGGGGACAAGCAGGGCAGAGGTGGGGAGATTGTCTCTGAGGACCAAGGGAACAGAGGAGGAGGGCAAGGGCCAAGCCTGGAGTACTTGGTGGGCTGGAAGGACAGTAGAGGTCTCAAATCTTCCCAGACGACACAATTTTCCAAGGTGGGTCAAGAGATGAGAAGCTAGGAAGCCCCAGAAGGTTCACAGGCTGGCGCCAAAGGGAGTAATCACCATTCCACAAGCTATGGAGACCCTAGGGATAGTCAACTGGGGCTAGGGCTTGAAGGCGAGGTGACAGGAGTTGGCATTCCACCTACTTATTGCTGTCTAAGGCCCTGGGCTGAACTTCCTCCCCTGCTCCAACCCTCTGCAGCTGCTTTTGCAGTCAGAACCTTCAGGAAGCCACAGGGTGGGGCAGGTGGGGTTGCGGTTAGAGAACAGTTTTGGTGATCAACTCTGGTACACATCAGCCAGCACAGGAACCCTGAGGCTGGGAAGGGGCTCAGGCTAGGCTGAGAACCACTGGGGGTAATTCCCAGTCCTTGATCTTGAGCCTTTCCCTTGGTCTGCAGAGAAGGTCCTGAAACTGCAGAGTCAAGGCACGGACAGTGCTGTATGGATGCACGTAGAGTGGGCTGGGGCACCACCTGTGGGCTCTTGGGCCATCCACATTACCTCTTGGCTGGGTGGCCCCTTCAGGGCTGACCCTTGGGTTGGAATGTGTCATGATTTGGGGCTCCAGGGCTTGCAGGGAGACATGGTGAGGGACAGAAGATGACTTGGGTTTTCCTCCCAGCAGGAAAGGAAACCTCTCACTTGCCAAGATGGGTCAAGAACTATCTGCATTAAGTTTATCTGTGGTAAGAGTCAAAATTCTCACCTTAGGAAGGCCACACCCAATTGTCAGCTCCGGAGGACAAAAGCAGGACTCTCCACATCCCCAGTTAGCTGGAAGGATTCAGGTTGAGTAAAGGCCTCAGTGGCTTAGTCAACTGTTCCCGTTAGAGCTGAGACTCCAGGACACCTGATATGGGAGTGTCCCTAGCCTCAGCCCTAAAGCTCTCAGGGAACCTGAAGGATCTGTCAACTTCCATTTCCTGCTGAAGGAGCAGTGTCAGGGCCTCAGAGAAAACCGATTATTCAACCCTTGAGCCTCTCTGGGGCCTCCTGGCTCTCACTAAGACCACTCTGAGCATCTCCATGTGTCCTCCAGGCTCCCAAAAGCCTTGATAGAGGTTTCGATCTCTGACCTGTGGAAGGCTGGGCTCAAAAGGGCTAAGTCACTGTCCTGAAGCCACCAGCTGGTCACTACAGTTGGGAGAGGAGTTGAGGTCTGGCTGAGTTCTTCCTTTCTAGCAGGGGTCACTGTGTTTTTCTTTGATCCTGCCCCACTGTCCAATGGAGACTGGGCCCAGTCTCCTTCATGCCCACAGTCTGTAGGACAGGCATGGGGTCACCAAGGTCACCTGGCACATTCTTTTCCCATCCAGGCAGCTCCTGGAGTTTCTGCATCACTGATATGCTCAGGACCTGTCACGTGGCTTATTGGGGCAGGGGTGATTGTGGCTGTCACCGTCGTTGGTGCCGTCTATGTGGTGAAGTACATCAAAACGGTACAGGGGCAAGGCTGGACTAGGGGGCACGGGATCAGAGTGTACGGAGTAAAGTGAGGCCTGTGAAAGGTTGGAGCAGCCAAGT